ATATAATTACATATGTACCTGTATTTTATATTTCTAAATTCAACAATACACTGATATTTGTTTTTGAACACGGTGTAATTCAATGCTTGTTTAGTCAGTTAAGTGCTTGCAGAAACACCGAATACGCTATGACGTRGTATAATATACCTACCATTTATTTTAGATTTGTAGGTATAGTATTTCATGTTGTAATTTTATTTCCTTTATGGTGTATTTAAAAAAATTAAAACGTGTTCACTGAGTTATTCTGTCTTCGCTTATTAAAAAAGTTCAAATACTATTTATGAGTGTGAGATATGTTGATATATTGTACATACTATACTACCTACCGTAAAAAAAAAGAAAAAACATCCATTATTATGTTTACGTATGATGTGTACCGACGCGACGCGTTATTATTCTTAGTGTAGAGATGAGTAAGGACGTATTTTGAAAGGACATACGCAAAGGCGCTTATTTAATGACTAAAATATGTGTTTATTGCTACGAAAACTACAATGTACTGTATTCTAATGCTTAATCACTCTAAACACATAACATAGATTTTCTGTATAACAAATGAGGTTCTGACTGAGTGAGTTTTACTCTAGGACTGACTGGGTGGCTGTGACCAAGGGGGCTCTCTGTGCAACGGCCAGGGTAGGAATTGCTGGATAAGCAGATTCCAGCTCGAGCGTCCGTTCCCGTAGTCACGTACGCCAGTGAACATATCATATTACTCTAATATAACTACGTACTATGCTTAAATATAACATGCCCCCAGGGCCAAATTGGAGCAGTCCCTGCGACTTAACATAAAAAAAAAAATATATATATATATAATATGTAAATTAACACTTAGTTTCTGCTATTTCTAGCTTATAAACATAGATTTTTTGTTTCTYCGCCTTCACCAGTAAAAATGTAATTACTATTACTAAWACAAAAATACAAACATACTCTACCATAATATGATATTCCATTGGAATTATTAACATGTTTTCTGTTGTTTTATTATTGGGTTTTTGTTCTATTGTGGATTCGCGTACCTATTGCTTGGCGGAGATTTTTATATAAACCAAAATGATTGAGTTTCTGAGGATTAATATCATCTATATCTAATTCCTTAATTTTACTTATATTAAATAACGGATTTTCCGGAACTAAATCTAATGTATGAWTAATAAATGTGTTTAAAATAGGTGACATAAATTGACGTAGTTGTGTGTAATGTACAAGAACGAGCGATACTAAGTCGGCCAATGCCTTTTATATTAAATTGGAATGATTTATGAGGGTTTTTACAATTTAAGGTTACAAATTCGGAATGAGTACAATAAATCCAAGAATCGGTTTTAAATAATCGGTTCCAAATGCTTACATCTAGTTTTATATATTTAGTTTTGCATGAAATCGGAAGAAATTGTGGATTTTTTTAAGACTCCGACTTCGCATAGTTTAGARGATGTCCTTCGTTGAATTGGTTCATTGCCCTTGCAAATAGTGTATGAACTTAGCCTAATACAAAAATCACTTTGTTGTTGAGTCAAAGTAAAATAGAATTCATTATCATCGCTAAAAGATATATAATCGATCTCCGGCTCAATGATAGCAGCGTTATMATCCTTCATATAAAAAGGTAATGGAATAGGATGATATACATATCGTAGCTATTTACAGTGATTATCGGAAAATGCAGTGCAAAGATGAGAAGAAGATGTTTTTGTAGAATAGAAATAGAAGAAATTGTTAAAAACTCCGGTATATTCTGTATTTTTGGTTCTACAGGGAGTTGGGTTCCTGCAGGCAACGTTAATTGGATTTCTTTAAGTTCCCTAAGAAGCTTTATTGGTGGTAATACTGTGGAATGAATTTTTCCATGAATTGCTGAATTTATAATAGAAATGAGGTTTTGCGTTTCATACGCGTATTGATGAAGAAGAGATTCTAAAATAATAGATTGTTCTAACAAAGTAGTTTTTACCATTAATGTATTGATTGTYATAGAATTCTTT